TGTCATCAAAAAGTGAAAGCAATTTGTGTTACTATGATAATTCAGGTCGAATGACAATGTTATTTAGCTCCTCTACTCTTTCAATGGCAAAGTCATCCCTTCCATCCCCCCAAAAAACACACAGTTTTCATGAACAGCTCCCTACATAACACAATAGTCCAAATAACTAATATATTACAACGGTGACAAGATCAAGGGGTTATAGCGATCAGTAAAATGGGAACCAAAAGACAAAACATATATTAGGAGTGTTATCTCACTTTTCGGACACGCTTTACAGTACACAATGCTTGAAATGGACAGTGGAGGAGGTTTAGACGTACCAGGCTTATAATAACAATGCAAATGAACAAACAAGCAAAGATGACACACACAAGTATATTCAAGCAATAGACAGCATATCTTAGTTCTGTGAAACACAGCAAAACCAACGTTTACTCACGTATCGAGAAGAAATAAAGCAACCTCGGCGTCCGTTTTCAGGCCTTCCCGCTCCTTAAGGTCTCTCCAGCGCTGGAAAGCTTCTCCGATATTAACGCGGGTCTTACCTCTTGCCTGATTGTAACCCAAGTTATATTCCCCTGGCCCAGTGACTCCTTATCATCCTCTTTTGTATATTATCTGCCATCTCTCTCTTTTGTGTTGTCTCTGCCATCTCACTCTTTCTATAGTCGTTCTGCTAATGTCTGTGCAGTGAGATCTCTCTCCTCCTCCATCATGAGTATATAAGGCCCTTACTGCTGATTGGCTACAAGTGTGTTTTGGTGTTCGGTCTGATCCACTTTCAGCAGCGTTTTTCAAAAATTGCTTACTGCACCTTTAAGATACATCTGTTAATATTTGGTAAAAATGGCCATACGTCCTTTGTTTTTCTTTTGTGGAGAGTGAAGACAGACACAGATTGAATACACTTCTTAGAGATCAATCAAATTCTTCTCTAATCTCCATTTCCAGCAGCAGAGCTGTAATAGCCGGTCTCTGGCAATAATTGCACCCTGATTTCATGCAGGTTTGTACTTGTGTTTGTCTCCTTCATAATTAAGAGTCTCAGTGACTCCTTATCATGCTCAAATCTCAGCAAGCATGTGATGTTCATTACCTCATAACAGAAAAACAATCAAATCATGCAGATTTTTTATTTATTTTTATTTTTTTACATATCACATGTAAAATCATATACATACCAGGTTAAAAAAAGGATTATAATGTGCTTTATTCAGATGTGCTGATCTTGTTTTTCACTTTAAGCGCATATAAAAATTGATAAACGTTGTACATGTAATCAACTCTCAAATCTGAAATGGGTTTGTTAATGTTAGAATCCAATCACAAAGAAACAGCAATGTGAGCTGGGCTGGTGTGTGTGTTTGTACCTTTAAGCTGCAGGAGACAGGCAGCGGGCAGCAGCTCTTGAACGTTTTCTACAGTAACCAGCACCGTCTCTGTGTAAACAAAATCCAGCAGGATCTCCATGGTGGATGCTGTGAGGCCCTGAATGTCCACAAAGGACTTCCCTTTTTCAGCAAGCTATGGAGTAACAAGAAAATAGACTGATATTTTAAAAAACAAACAGATTTTTCTTTTTACATCCACATTTAAATCAAAACACAATTTAGACTGTAGATTAAACATGATGCAAGCTTGTGGATTTATTCATACTTGGGGTAAAAGCTGTCACACGTTTTTCTTCCCTTGTCTTGGCAAAAAACTGACCAATAAGAAATAAGCCAGCTTTCCGGAACCAGCATTTCAGATTGGGAGTACAAAATAAAAGCTACAGAGGGAACAAATGACCGAAACAAAAAAAAAGTGATAAGCGCAGCAAATGCATAATATTTCTACCCTATCACCACAGCTGTAATATTATCATTATAGAGTGCTTCAAGGATGGTGCATTTTTGTAGGCAAAAACCGGAAACGAGTTAGCATTTTTGCACTTCCTGTTCCATTGTCCTGAAGTCAATGGGTTTTTTGAATGGGTTTTTGGATAAATGCCTGAAATAAGGTATTTGGTGAACACAAGCTCAAAATATTTTCACGTTTTATTCTACTATTTTAAACTTGACTTTTACGTGTTTTAAAAAAGGTGGTTGCGCTAACAAGTGGTTGAATGGGACCTTGCAAACTATTTTAACTCAAACTTTCAGGGATTTGTTTTTTCTTAATTAAGACTGAAAGAGTTGTTGGAAGCTTAATGGTGGTGACGTTAAAGCCATGAGACCTTAGTGTAGTTTGTTTATAGCCTACATTTAGCTTTTGACTTCTAATGATTGTATTTAGGCTTCAAAATTCATAAATGTGATGTTCATTTGTGAAGATTATCATGATGAACAAAATGTGTAAGAATCATACATTTTTGTTGGAGCTTAAGTTCTGCAATAAATCAACAGCCAATGGAAAAATCTTTAGGGGGTTTTGTTGAGGGACCCAGGGTCACGCCAACTTCCAGGCTGGCCTACAAAAAACATCATTACTGCAGCACTCTATTACAAACCACTAGTACTATTACCTTTATATTATATATCCCTATATTATGCTATATAACTATTTTTCTTACATTCTACAACATTATCATCAATTAGTTTGCATCCAGCTTGAATAGTGTTCACTCTAGTAACACTGAACCAGCTTCAACATATCTGAGAATATTAGACCGCCTGCACCTCCTAATGTGAAGGAGCAGAATTGCACCAACGTGAATTTTTGTTGTTGTTCTTTTTACATATGTGCCAATTTTATTGATATGGATTAGTAGAGAGGACAGGAAATTTTGAAGCATTTCTGCTAATGCCATGTCAGGACCCCAATGGAGTGCATTTTAATTCAACGGACAGACCGCTCCAGTTACGACCACAGTGATTTCTGTAAAATGAGAGTGATGAGTGTGAATATAGAGGGTGTTTGTTACCTCACTGGTGAACATGGCACAGAAATAATCACTGCAAGCTGCCAACACAATGCGGTGGGCCGGGAAATCTGTGCCCTCCACCCTCAGAGTGATGTCACACAGCGTGTTGCTCTTTCTTAGGGCGTTCATGGCATTCAAAATGGACTTGGCGTGCGAATTGGTCATGATGTCCTTGGGCGCCATGACGACAGGGGGTGGGGTGGAGTGACAAAGCCTCAGGCACTGCAGGATGATGATTTCTGCAGGACACACCAATCAGTGACCACTCAAAAACAACACAGCTGATCCCAAATACACACATAATCCAAACTCATATTACTTTCTTTCTTCTGTGGCACATAAAGGAAGATATTTTGAACAATATTGGAAACCAAACAGTTTTGGTTCCCACTGGCTTTCATTGTATGGACAAAAATCAATGGGAACCAAAACTGTTTGATTACCAACAATCTTAAAACTATCTTATTTCAATATAAATAGAAGAAAGTTTGGAAAGACATAGGGGTTTGGAAAGATATGAGGGTGAGTAAATGATGACAGAATTATAATTATAGGCCACCCAATAACTATAATTCTGTCATCATTTACTCACCCTCATATCTTTCCATATCTTTAAATGATGACAGAATTATAATTATAGGCCACCCAATAATTATAATTCTGTCATCATTTACTCACCCTCATATCTTTCAGACCATTTGTGTCATTTTTTGTATCTGTGTATGCTGCCTTCACGTGCTATCGGAAAATTCCTACTTCCCACTTATGAAGTCGTGATTACGAGCTCGTCGCATTCAAATTTTGACTTGAGTGGGCGTTCATGTCCAATTTTTTTAACAAGGAAACTAGTATTTACGATAATTCCGATTACACGTGAAGGCTTAGAAATAGGCAGCTGTATATTGAAATTTGTTGAGAAAGTTAAATTTAAAAAGGATTAACCAAAAAGATTTGTCTCAATAGAAGCAGTGTCTCAATGAAACGGCTCACTACGCATCCTTTAGATACATTTCAGCAGCATCTTAGAAAGAAAGGGACATTCTGAAACATAACGATACAACCATGTAAATATATAACGCGTTAAACAATGAAATATTTTAGAAAAGGTCTAGCTGCATGCTGAGGGACATTACGCCTGTTTTACACCAGACGGGAAACCGGAATCTTTTCTTCGTATTTAATATTTTCCTAGTAAAACTTCATCTGAAAGTGTTGGTGTAAATCAGGTGAGAGTTTAAGTTTCACAGAGGTGATATGAGGCTACATGCTAAGGCTAACCAAAAACGGATGCTAACCCACACATAAACATCTTTATGTGAACTCACAGCGTACAGCTGATCCACAGCAGAACAGATACGGAACAGGACTGGATGACAGCACACGGCGGTCTATTTGGACATCTGCTGGCACCCCTAACAGGGAGACCCTCGCAGGTGTGAATTGAATCAATTTTACTCCAGCAATGAGAAGAACAGTGCTCACGTGTGCGCGCATCCCCAGCAAAACACTGCGACGTCACCAGCGCGCGTGCGCTTTCAGCGGCTCTGCGCACTAATTGTGCTCGCGCGTTTCGTAATAATGCCATCTCAAATCGCTACACATTCTGACCTTCATTTGATAACTTAATTAAAAAACAACAACATAATTTTATGATACAACGCTATAAATTGCAGTTTGGACAACAAACTGAACAGCTCTATCTATATAATAATTTTAAGTGAAAAGTAGTCATAAAATATTTTGACATATGATGGCTAATGGTGATTTGTAGTTCAAGTTGGACTTAAATGACAGTGGTGCTAGTTTTGGGTAAGTATTTTCATTAAGAAAATAGGAAATAGATTACAATAGAAAATCTAATTTATCCTTTTAGTGATGCTATTGTTAACTATTAAAAATGTTTTTTTTTGTAATTGAAATCAAGCTGAAATTAAATAAAATATAACTATTAGAACAAAAACTTATTAGAAATGTTGCCTTCAACCATAAACCTACTTAAAAAAGTCATGTGTGTATAACACAAAATCCTCTTTCAAATGTCAAAAGGACAGCATACTTTAAAAAAAAGATTATTAATGATCAAAGCAAGTAATTCTTGGTGTTTCATCTTTATTCTGCTCTTTTTAAATATCTTGATTTCTATGATTTCCAAAACCAAACAAGTATTTTGGACTGAAACCCCGATTCACTCAAACAAAAGATAAAATTGCATGTGCCCCAATGTGAATCCCACTCCTGAAGCTCTGGGTCATTTCAGGTCAAAAGTTAATAAATGATCATGCAAACATGTTTGAGGAAACCGAGAACTAAGCATGTTCACGTGTGTCTTCCCTAAAATTCTTACAATGTACAGAACCACGAATCAGTAAATCAAACCTTAGATGAAAAACCACTCAGTAGATCAGAAAACTGTCAGAAAAGAAGTGTTGGAGGAGGTAGTGTCTCTGAAGACCTCTGCAATGCTTTATGACTCATTCCAGTGATTTACAATAAATGATGTGCTGTACTGAAATAGTAAAGAACAATATAAACACAAGACTACCTCATTTATCAATAATTATAAGTATCTTAACAAATAAAAATCTTATTTAAATATACTGTATGTTAAAATTCCTCAGAGATAATACAAATCTTTAAATCATTATTATGTCGGGTCCAGGTTCATTGTGACGTGAGCAGGCACCGGCCAAAGTTCAAGCGATTTGTTTTGTTTTTTTACAGCAGAGTGTCATCTGTACAGCCTCCTTCCAGACCATAGCGGAATTCCTGCAGGTTTGAGATTCCATAAAAATGGACAAATGCCGCTGCGACAACCAGGACATGGAATATCTGATGAGACTGAAACTGACAAAGTAAAACAGATCGAGACCATGAGTATACTTGCATGAACATTACGCTATTAGGCTACTTTACAATACTACATGCAACAAAAATTCTCTTGAGTCTTACCCAGATGTCACATCTTCCAGGAAAGTAGCGTTCTGGTATCCGTGCTGCATACAGTCCTGCTCCACTGACATACATGGCACCCATCAGATAGAACCAGCCCATCTGACCAACTGTCGTTGCCTTCACAAAACCCTCTGTGATGGTAAAGTGCATTGTGGGAATGAGCCCACTCAGACCGAGGCCCAGGAAAACACCTGAAGATGGGGAAATGTTTTATCAAACATCTCAAATCAATCATGAAGGTGGACTATTTTTGAGGAACAGGTGAGTGTGTTACCTGCACGTGTGCACCGGTGGCGAGGGGTGGCGAATCGGTCAACCTGGGCAACTATGATGGCAGCGACGCCCAGCACACATACAACAGATAGATAGATTAGCCGTGGCTGAGGAGAGCAGTAAAACGAGTAGTACAGCCATGGAACGAATGAGCCCATAATCAACAAAGCGATACCGGAGTAATCCAACCTAGGGGCATCAAAAATGACACTGCAGTTACTGAAGGTGATGCATACACATAATATGCCTACACACATAGAACATAAGAACCGGTGTCACTTACTTGGAGAAAGTTCTGGAGACCTTTTCCGAGTGGCAGTAGACGGTGTGAAAAAGCCATGAGAAGCACAAACAAAGCACTGCACCCAGGAAGAACATCCCCAAAACCACCTTCTCCTGCACGGGCGCCATGAATGACACATTCGGCCGCAGCATTGTTAGAGTGCCCAAGCACAGGAACAGAATTAGGCCTGTAGGGAGACATTGCGATAGCTTCATTAGACTCCAAAATGACTCACCAGCAACATAATTACAGGTTTGACTGACATTAAATGTCAATGTGGTGTGTTTTTTTTATTTGTCATCCTCAGGGCAATGATTCACACATATCAGATTATCACATTACAAATATCATAAAATGTATCTTCTAAGTTCCAGAGGTTGTGGAAAGTCCTTCTTAAAAGGCCACTGGGGTTATAAGACATACGCAACTGTTCAAAAGTTTGTGGTCAGTAAGATTTTTTTTAAAGAAATTAATACTTTTTTTTTCCCAGCAAGGACACATTAAATTGATCAGTAATGACAGTAAAGACTTTTATAATGTTACAAAAATGTTCTATTTCAAATAAAAAAAATCTGTCTATTCATCAAAATGCCCTGAAATTAATTAAATGTCAAATTAATACAAATGTTGCATGAGCAGCATATCAGCATAGTAAAGTTATTTCTGAAGGATCATGTAACACTAAGGACTGGAGTAATGATGCTAAAAATTCAATTTTGCCATTAAAGGAATCAAATACATTTTAAAATATATTAAACATATTATAATATTGTTGTTTTTACTGTAATTTGATAGAATAAATTCAGCCTTGGTGAGAGCATTAAGAGACTTATTTCAAAAACATTTAAAAAATTGTATTGACCCCAAACTTTTGAACATTAGAATGTAAATAATTCCTCAGCAGGATAATTTGATAACAGGAAACGTTTCTCAAAGACTATTTGGTGGTGGTCGCTTGACATGTAGCAGCCACAGTGATGTGTATGTCTGTGAGTTTGATTAAAATCTCTTTTCAAGAGATGATTGTTGTTATGTTTTCCGTTTTTTGTATTATTACGTCACAATGTCAAATATCATAAGCACAGACCCAGCAGGTGTGTCCAGATGTTTCCAGTTTCTGTGTGAATCCTAAAGATGCTCCCAAAACAGGCACGGAAGGACGGCATGGGTGGGCGGTGTCCATGCAGCAGGTAATCATTGTCCTTCAGCCAATCGGGGAGGAGATGGTATGGAATAACTCGCCAACGTCCTTCCCATATCTAGTAATGGTAAGAGTTTACTTTATTAAAACATCTCATACTAGAAATAGGCCACATTTACATTACAATCACAAAAGTAACACTTTTGGGACATTTAAAGATGAACATCACCTTGTGTACAAACTCCTCCATTTTCTCCATGGCATGGTGTGCCTGCATGGGCAGTGTAACCACCCGCAAACCTTCTTCTTCCTCTTCTTCCTCTTCATCCTCATCAGGAAACGCAGATGCACCCTAAAAAAACAATCATGCTTTTAGTTAAATGTAGGTGTTCTTGCCTCGTTCTGTCTATTAAATGTACACTACTGTTCAAAAGTTTGAGGTCAGTAAGATTTGTTTTTGAAAGTCTCAGTGAGATATTATAAAATACAATTACAAATTGTAATAAAATAACATTTAATTTATTCCTGTGAAGGCAAAGCTGAATTTTGAGATTCTTTGATAAATAGAAAGCGGAAAACCACAGCATTTATTTGAAATATAAATCTTAACTTAAAAATGAATGAATGAATGAATGAATGAATGAATGAATGAATGAATGAATGAATGAATGAATGAATGAATGAGGCATTTATATAGCGCTTTCATATGTACTACTGTACACCCAAAGCGCTTTACAATCATATCAGGGGGTCTCTCCTCAACCACCACCAGTGTGCAGCCTCCACTTGGAAAATGTCACTTTTGATCGATTTAATGTATCTTTGCTATTTTACAGTACAATACAGTACAGTACTTACAGTGTACTTGCCAAGGAAAGCATTGGTTAATATGAGGAAATTACATGGGTTAAGGTTAGGTTCAGCCTCAGGGTTAGTACTTACCGGTAGTTATTACCCAGTTATTGTAAAAACTATAATAAGTACATAATATGGGGAACAGGACTGTAAAATAAAGTGCAACCAAAATATCTTACTGACCCTAAACATTTGACTGGTAGGTTTTTTTTCTTCCCTGCTACTCACTCTGGATTTCTCTGCTTTAGCTGGAGTTGTCAACAGCGGCCCAATCTCAGCGGGCTCCACATTCTCCATTTTCTCATCATCAGAGGTGCGCCGCTCGGCATCACTGTTGGAGCCGCAGTCACCATGGTGACACGTTGTCATGGGGAGACAAACCTAAAACTCCCCAGAGTTTCTACCTTGTCCAACAGTTTACAATCCAAGTCTGATGACGACATATAAAATGCAGAGATTAGAGAGTTTTGACATAAATTAATGTCAAAATGCAAAGATTAAGTGCATAGATGTTGTCAAAACAGACTTATCATAGGTTTCAAAATATTAAATTCTTGGCATATCAATAATTAATTAATCCAGTTGAGGTACATGACATAAATGAACGACATAATGTGCAAAAGCCAATAATGATCAATTCCAGGTTGGGGGGCTTGAGTTAAATTCTGAAACTGATTTGACTCAGTATAATCAATTTTAAGACTTGAAATCGGTTTTAACTTGAACTGTATTAATTAGTGTCGTACTAATGGTCAACTGTTTTTCTGCTCTGATCTGGTCAGGCTGTAACTACAGGCTGCTCCAGGTTTTCATAACCGTCAAAGGTTTACATCCTGTTAAGTTAGCATGCTCGGAGGCTAACCAAACGAAAAATCAAACATTAAAAGAAAAAAACAGAAGAAAACCCACAAATTTTCGAATCCTCGCGTCTAAAAACGTTCTGCGCAACGTATTTGTTTCTGTATTATGTGTGGCAGTGTTATGTATGTTACGCATTATTATACTGCGTGTAACATCGTAGTTATGACCTGAATCAGGTTAGTCGAACCAGACAACATTAACGTTAGCCTGCATGCTAAAGCACTTCCCTATTATCTGATTTGATAATTATTTACACAACACAAGGCTGCTTTCATCACAGTTAGCAGATTATTATTATTATAGACCAGGCGATAATATAACAGATCAGTGTGTTCATACGTTACCTGGCTGGACGGGCTGTCAGTCAGTTCATGGGAGTTTTACAGCAGCAGCTTGCCGTCCGGTCGCTATGAGCCTCTATAAACCTGTAGAACCAGTCGGTTCAGTTCAGTAGCAAATTATAACACAAATAACCAATAAACATAGACTACAGTCTGATACACAGTGACAGTACGCTATCAACACGCCGAGACAGTGCAGTGGATGCACTCTCTATCTGTCAAAGGGAGAAGAACACGTAATACCGTAACCGGTTTGAGCCAAGCGGTTTAACATTTAATCCTTAAACCGTACTAGTAGGCCTATCTATTTTTATGCTATTAATACTTATTTTTTAGTAGTATCTATTCCATTTGGTAAAAGTACTTATTCATTACCTACGCTTATTCTTTAGTTTCTAGTACATTTTTAAGAGATTTACTAACTTATTTATTAGATACTGACGTTATTTATTTATTTAGGCTACTGGTACTCATTCGATGCTAGTAGTCTACCTATTAAACAGACACTATTACTTATTTATTTCATTCTTATTCATTAGATACTACTTATTTCATAGTAACTATTCTATTGTTAGGCCTAATACATTTTTATTATTTTAGTCTATAGGGATCTGTCATTCATATATCAACTATTCAGTTTGACTATGTATTCCAATTAGGCCTACATTTTTTTATATATTAGTAGTTATTCATTACTTGCACTCATTTTTTAGATAATACATTAGATAACATTTATTATACTTGGTACATAGATATTTATTTATTATATACTACTAGTATTTTTTCATTTGATACTTCTTATTTATTAGATAGTATTCATTATACTATTAGATACTTGACAGGAGATTGTGCCTTTTGGAGAGTATTTAATTTCTCAAAATAAAAATAACTAATATTAATCTGCGATTAGTGGGAAAAGATGTTGAGAGATGAACAACCTATTTTACAAGCAAATTTAGACCAAAATGTTTTTATTTTTATATTATGTTTTTATATTATATTATATTTTTAATTATTTATTTTTACATTAACTGGTTTGGGAAAAACAATCACGCATGGCACAAAGCTGGTTGTGGCACTTGCTAAGTGAACACACACACACACACATTGGGTTTCCATATGGGGACATCATATTTTTATACATACCCCTACCCCTAAACCCATCACAGAAAACTTTCTGCATTTTTACTTTTTCAAAAAACATCATTTTGTGTGATGTATGAAGTTTTTTCCTCATGGGAACAAAACAAAAAAGTCTCAAGGATTTTGGATATTACCATCTTTACCCCATTAACGTAGGGTTTACCGGTTAGCTTCCACTTCGGAGAAACGAGATGAGAATAGGGTCAATGAGAATAGGATCAATAGGAGGTTTAATGTCACATGAGTTTCTTGCATCTAGCCAAAAACTGTGATAGGCAATTTGGTAGTCCTACTCGTATGTTATGTCTATGGTCCTATTAAGCCTATAGTGATGAAGGTTAATATATGCGAAATAAAATGATATATTTAAATAACTATTTTAAGTATTTTAAATACAAATTACAGTCCCTCAAAATATTTATTTACAAATTACATTTCATTTATTTTTGTTAAGGAAAATACAAATTACAAAATACTTAAAAGTAATTAAATACGTATTTCAAATACATGTAGGCTGATTAAAAAACTGCCCATCTCTGCTTAGGTCATAGGAAAATAATGGGAAATACAACAAATATGAAAATGCAGAACAATTTGTTGAATATTCTACTAATCCGCCACGATGAAGTCTTTGACAATGTCTAAATATATAACCAAACTGAAAATCTAATAAAGGTAGGCTAAGTAATTATATATATATATATATATATATATATATATATATATATATATATATATATATATATATATATATATATATATGGCATCTAGTGGTTACACATGTATTACATGATTGTATTTATTTCTCCCACCAAATAGCACTAGATCCCACCAGATGCATTAGATTTTAAATCACTTTGCTCTATATTAACCTAAACACCGTATTAAATAATAAAAATAATATGACATATTTTTTCTATATTAAGCCTTAATTCACACAAAAAAAAACCTCATATAATGAAATTTACATATAGGCTACAACATATCACATTTACTTTATTGAATGCTTCTTGCAAAGAAATAACTATATACGTTTAATTGATTCCACTTTTAATACTGTAAAGAGAAAGTTTGGGTTGTAATATATGATCCATTTTACTTCATGCACTTTTCTAAATATCATTACGCACATGCGTATTATTGCGTAAACTCCCCGATCTACAAAAACTACAGAGCCCAGACGAATAAAGCAGTAACTCTCCGTAGTATGATTGGCCGAAGTGGTTGCCATGCCCCACTACTTTGCGCTGATTGGCCTTTACCCTAGTTTCGCGGACACTCACAGTCTTTCATTGGTTATTGTGAGGAAAGAGGGGCGTTTTCACGACGCAGAGCGGAGAGCCGTGCTGCGGGAGGAGCGAGCAGCGTGTTTCCGGTAAGGGCGACACAACAGTACCATCAGAACCGTTCTGTAAGAAAATTAAAACAGACTTTAAAAGTAATTTCATTTTATGTGATTCGATATCAACTTTATGATTAATTGTATTGTCAGGGAGCCATCTATCGAGCGTCGCGGAACACACGCGGCAATGGAAGCCGAGTTTCGGGAAATCGATGAGCTCGGGAACTGGAACGCCGTTTACCAGGTAAAGAACTGATTCTGGCGCTTCATACTTGACTATGATGCTATAAATATCCATAACAACCCAAAACAAGTTTGTTTTGTTTATTTGATTTGATGTTTATTTTTGACAGGTCAGATTCCGCTCCTTAACTCAGAAAAAACGATTTGACAAGTTAAAGAGATGACCTGAATTTGTCATTTTTAAACGGAGACAAAAATAGATATGGTGGGAATGAGGTCGTTTTTTATGAGAGGAAGTCTGTTATTAGTTGGATTGCTACCTTTATCTACTTCTCTGACTCACTTGCATATTTTTTAATAACAGTGATGAATGAATGGCATCCTAAACTGGATGCTGGTGGTCCCTCATAACTGTGTGCCATATAGTTTCTCCCAGCAAATCATTTGCCACATATTTGTTTCACTAACAGATTGAAGTATTTTCATCTCATAGACTTCTGTTTTACTGTAGGAGATTAGGCAGCAGTCCAGTGACCTACCATGCAAGATCGCCAAACTTCCAGAAAACAGAAGTCGTAATCGCTACAGAGACGTCAGCCCATGTAAGTGTGCCTCTTCCCCTGTTCGACACAGTGAGTGACACCTAACGGAAGGGGCCTGTTATCAGCGAGCTGTTAAAGTCATTTCACACTGAAGATGTCATGTCTTTTTTTCTCTCCCTTTTTTAACTCTTCCGTCACAAAGAGCGACACTGTTGTGGTTTCCTCTTTCTCTGAGTCTTTTTCTTTTTCCACAACAACCTGAAAAGGTCCTCAGCTCGCAAAACACCACATTAAATAAATGCCTGTGTGTTTTATCTGTTTCAATTGAGTGTTTTCATCAAGAAGATGTTTTTTTCTCTTGTGGGGAACTGAGAACAGGACCTGAAAAAGAATCGTTCCACCGCTGAATTTGCAAAGCATCATGGGTGATGTGCCCCACAGCTTAATCTCGCTCTCTTTTCACAGTTGACCACAGCCGTATTCATCTACAGATCGGCAATAATGACTACATCAATGCCAGTCTGATCTCAGTGGATGAAGCTCAGAGAAACTACATACTAACTCAGGTGACATACTGACACTTACACCCCAGATTTGTATCTGCTGAGGAATCTGATGCTGTATTTGCACCTGCATGACATCTGACAAAAACACTGAAGAGTTCATTAACAGTAATAGGGACATATATCCTGTGGAAAATATCGTCAAGTTCACACAATTGAAAATGTTATGGTTTATTATTTGTTACTTTTTAAGATCTTAAAATGTGGATTATTAATGCCTGTTCACACCAACAAAAGTGCAGAAATGTTGTTTTTGCATGGGATTTATTTGTGTTACAATGCGTAAAAAATGCCTGGTGAACTGAATGAAAATGTTAAATCACTCTTATTTTAGGTGGGACTTTTAGAAAAGTGCAAATCTTGGTCAGTTTTCTTCACAAGGATATAGAAAAGAGATTAGATGTTAATACATACATTCTAATAATCGATTGTTGTTTAAATTAACAATCAATTAAATAATTAATCATTAACCTTTACCTCTTAAATCCGAAGCAAGGGGCATTACTAAGTTGTCACTTTACTTAACCAACATAAAATAGGTGTCATTTTAAAGCTTAGAAGCCTGGCTTTACAGTGAGTATAGGGAATATGACGATCACTTAACAAGTGCTTTTAAATTTGCTGACATATTAGAAATGCTCCATTTCCATTGCGTGAAAAAAACCCCTGCTTTACATGAAAATGTGATCTGTAATATCATTGTATATAACAGATAGACTTGTCATATATCAGTGTAGTAAGATTACACATAATGCTTTTGGACCAAGTTATTGTTTTTAACTTTGCGGAGCCTTAGTAAATCACAGTAGATCACATATAGAGCAGGTGGTCTCGAATGAGCCCAAAAACAACATAGAACAATGTGTAGATTACGGAGTGACATGACATGCTGCTTGGCTAAAGCGATAGGACTTCCAGAATCCGATTGTGTCGCAATCATGATGCAATGTTTTCCAAAGTCATTTGAGAGTTCAACCAATGGAAAATGGATCTTGAGTGTGGTGGGTGGGTATAGTGGATAGGGATGATGTGTAGAGACCAATCGAACACTGTTTTATAGCTGGAGTGCGCTTGGATTGGTTTGAGGTCTTAATTTATCATGCGCCATAGAATAGGATTGCGTAGCTAAAACAGCACTGGAAGATCATTACTCATCCACCAGGTTGTTATTACTGTTTATTAGGGGTGACCCCGAATAGTCGAAGATTCGATGCTTCGATAGGAGGAGCCTGATTCGACTACCAATCTCACGGTCGAATCTTCGCAGATGTGTTATTAAATGAGGATTATGTCATTTTTGCTATATGAGTGTGCTCAATGTCTGATTTCACATAGAACTACTGGTTTTCTGTCAATACGTTAATACAGCCTATTATGATAATGCTGTCAATAAAAATGTGCAAAGAAAGAAGCTTTTAATAAATATTTTTTAACTGCGTGCAGCGTGAATAAATCCAAACACCCCGTGACAGATTTAAGTTTCACTTTCGATCCGTGACCGACAGAGGAGCGTCTTGTCGGCAGGGATTTAAATCTTTAAAAATGTCTGGGATAAGAAAATCTAAAGATGCACACCATCAGAAAGGATAATCTCCAAGGCTGGATTTAGCATCAGGAAAACCATGATCGCACTTCTGCCGGCCAACGTTAACAGGTTGGTTTTCCTCAGGACGTTCTAAAACGCTTAACGTGAAAAAAAGCTTTTAAAACGCTTAAATGACACTTTTACGTGCTTAATGTATGTACACAGTAGGCTACACACCTTAAGAAACCATTCCATGTGCAGATAAGCAGATGAACCCAGAATATGAACGCAACGCGTTTTTCCTTTAGAAAGTCACAGCTTTTTCTTTAACGGTTTTCTATGGGAGGAAAAATGCTTAACGTAGCCTATAATAAAACGCGCTGCGTTCATATTCTGGGCTCATCTGCTTTTCTGTAGGCTATATAGTATGCTTTATTAATAAGGTGTGTACAGAATTTGATCTTTTAATATAACAGTTTTAGGACAAAGCCGTTAAGCGTTTTTCACGTTAAGCGGTTTACAATGTAGGCTATTTTATACGCGCACACAATTTGAAAAGACTCAAACGGACACAGGCCGAGTGAAAGACTGGATTTTGTTTTTTCGATCAGGTATGGGTACAAGTGATTTCAAAACATTTCAGCCGGTTCTACTTCTAATTTGATTTTTGGATACTGTGAAGTGTGAACACGTTTAGCTAAAAAGACTGCCGCTCCAGTTTAGCGTTTATTGTTGTTTCTGCAGTTAAAAAGACAAAGTTGACAATCCTGGCCATACTTTCGTTATTTTAATAATTTCTTTATTTTTATTTTATTAATTGATCACTCAGGGTGATCTAATATAACTATTTGTGACTTGTGTTTTGAATATTGTTCCCCTGCACTTTAGGCATTTTGCACACATTTGTTCTGCCTCTTGTGACTTGATTCTGACTTATTTCGTTTTGTATTTTTATTTATCATAAATGTATATTGTGTTCTTAATTGTTGATTATTTTTCACTGCATCGATGTTGCGCTGTAGGCCTACATAGAGCATGCCCCTACAGGCAATTCAGCCGATTTAATTTGATTTGCATGTGAAATATGTTAAAGTGTTAAAATTAAAATGTTAAAGCCCCGCCCCCTCCCCAACACCACACACATGATTCGACTATTAGTCGACTATAGGCAGGACTTCACGAATCTGATTCGACTATGAAAATCCTTAGTCGGGGACACCCCTACTGTTTATACTATGTACTTTTTTTTTATACTTTATTTTTTATAGTTTCATCACATATATACAAAAATTATAATTAGTAAAACAAACAAACAAACCAATGAGAAAAAAGAAAAAAAAAGGAACAATCTGGATCACCTAAACATTACAATTTAGTGAATGAGATACATCAACTTCAGACCTCTTCTTGTCGTTGGGATGTAAATACAGTCCATTTTCCCCAATTATTTGTGCGTTGATCCTCTTGAACTCTTATCTTATGAGTCAACCATTCCATTACACTTATTTCAGACACTAGTTTCAGCCATTCATCTCGTGTTGGGGGGTCCGGCTTGTACCATCTTTTCGTAATGGCCTTTTTACATGCTGCTAACAAAATTTTAAACAGGTATCGGTCTTCTCTTGACACAATGTTTCTTTTCATATTACCAAAATACAGCACTGAACATGACTTGGGTATATCATAACCCAAGATTTCAACAATAACCAAGTGGACATCCTCCCAAAACTGTGTAATAACAGGACAGAGCCAAAAGACATGTGAATGGTTTACATTTACCGCTCCACACTGTCTCCAACATGGTTGTGGTACTGACAAAAATTTGCTCTTATACTATGTACTTTTATTGTGGCGTTTACACAAGTAAATGGTTCTTAAGTTCAGTAAAATAACTTGTTTGGAGGTTTTTTTTGGACCCATGGTTAATTATGTTTCTAAATAAACGGCTAGCCTGCTGCCTACCAAATCCATTGCACGGCTTGAAGACATTAAAGGGGTGGTTCAGGATTTTGGACATCGGGCCTCATTTCCAAGTTAGCCTTAGTGTTATTTATCAGTGGAGACAGTTTTAAAAAATTTTCATCCAGTCGTTCCAGTTGCATAGTTCGCCGGTGCTAGGCTAGCGCGAGTCAACGGTAACTGCTAGCCTGCCATTAAAAACAGTTTTACCCACTCCACAGTACACCAAAAGCAAATAAATTATAACGCCAGACTATCGATGTAAATGTCTGTTAAGAGAATAATGTTAAAAATCAAACTACTCTTGCATCTCAATGATCGCAATACATTTACAGGAACTAGTTTCTCCGCAGCGGTGGAATTTTACTTTGCTCCGGTTAGTAGTACCGCGCCGAAAAGTAAACACAGAACCGAAGCGCACTACAGTCGGAACTACCTGCACTACGTCTCTCTACCTCTCTCTCACTACCTCTCTCGGTTGCCTAGGTAACTACATATCACTCCGCCGCTGCTGTAGACTGTGCTAATAAATACAGTGAACAAAGTATAACTATTGCAATGCAATGAAAGGGTAGTTTGATTTCTAACATTATTCTCTCAACAGACATTTACATCGATAGTCTGGCGTTATAATTTATTTGCTTTTGGTGTACTGTGGAGTGGGTAAAACTGTTTTTAATGGCAGCATAGCAGTTACCGTTGACTCGCGCTAGCCTAGCACCGGCGAACTATGCAACTGGAACGACTGGATGAAAATTTTTGAAAACTGTCTCCACTGATAAATAACACTAAGGCTAACTTGGAAATGAGGCCCGATGTCCAAAATTCTGAACCACCCCTTTAATGCACTTAGAATATGTAACTACGGCGTGCGACATTTTTATTATTTGTCGAATAAGATGCTGCACAACAGAACTGTATACATTTAAAACATGGATGGAAAAAAACTTGGTTGTGTGATATTCCTTAAAAATAATAATATTATTCCTTTTTGAGAAGTACATTTTAGTATACAGCAGTGACATTTCTGTCATAATTTCTTGAAGTTAAACCAAACTTTTGTTTTGACTGCTTGTCGTGAAGATCTTTCGGTTTTAGTTTCAGTGTGTATTTGACGATAGTTTTTCTCAAATGAAAGGGTGAATAAAGCTTGTGAAGTGACTCTCAAAGCAGCTCTGGAGTTCATGTGTTCATGTCCTGATATATTGAGATGGCAGACGCTGAAAACACTGAGCGTCACATGTGTGTGAGTTTGTGTATTAGACGAAACCACGCTGTTCATTCACACAGAAATCACTTATTAGCGGCATGCACTGACTGGTTGTTGTCGTGTTTATTTCTGCTGTATGATAGGCTGTTAGATTAATCCATATAGAGTAAAAATGTTCATGAGTTTATCATCGTTATCCATGTAAATTTTAATGGCGATCTCGATATGATAACGTTTATCGCCCAGCCCTATTTATAGTAGCATCCCTAAGAACATCTTTCCTTTAAAAACACATTGATGCAAATGTTTCTGTTGGTCTTAACAGACACATTAACAGCATTCATTCATTCAAATTATAAAACGATTAGTTCCAGTCCTTGATTCTGATCGCTTCACCCAACGGTTCTATGTGTCACATTCACTACATAACACCCCTAACAACCACTCTTAGCAACGTAAACATATGTGGTGTTCACGGCCGTGACTTATTCACGATACAGCACTAGCCTCTCGTACCTTATTGCTTACATAAAATGTTTTGTCACGGATATTCAGGAAACGAACCCAATCGCAGACGTTTGCAGAAACACAAGGTTTATTGATAACAAAACAGGAAAACAAAACCCCACGAGGGGGGAAAAACAGCACGGGCAAAGCAAAAGACAAACAACACTTGACTAAGACACAGACTTCACAGGAACAAAATAACTATTACAAGAAAACTTCTTTGTTTAGACAGAACTCAAGACAAGGTACTCACAAGTATTACCATGTGTGGATACACACACAATCAGGAGTTTTTCCTACAGCGTTTTAAATAAAATCCCGTCCACACATGCTCGGTCTCCGTCTACATGAAAACGCAAAAACACGTATCAAGTGCGGTCAAGAGCATGCCACGCCAGCAGGCGGCGATATAAACCTTAACCGTAAAGCCACGTTGGCCAATCAGAAGCGCAAATCTGACGTCAAACACAGCTGATAACGGCGCACACTCTGACGTCGCAAGGCAAAAACCCCGGTTTCACTGTCTACACGACAACACTGTAACCGGCGTTTCTGAAAATCCTCACCCTGGCAGGGGTTTTCAAAAATGTTCGGTTTCAGTGCGTTTTCGTGTGGACGAACGGCCGAACCGCGTAAAAAAAGTCACGGTTATAAAAATACCCGTGTCCGTGTGGACAGGGCCTCAATCACAATGAACCAGCACAGGACAGCAAACACAAGGGGATAATATAGGGAGAACAGATAACGACAGCAGGTGACACTGATCAGGCAATGAAGACAAGATGAGGATAACAAGGGGGCGGGGAAAGAGAACGAGACAACACGAGCACACAACCCAAAATCAAGGCCAAGTGCCTGCACACAAAACATGGGTCTGTCATGATCCTGCCTCAAGACTAGAGAAAGGAAATGACAAGAGGGCAGAATCATGACATGTTTATTGCATTGATAGACTTTTGCAATAGTAAACGCTATTCGTTCACGTGGGGGCCATCACTAAAATTCACAGCGCCCATGACACAATTTTTGCAAAAACAAAAGTTTTAATTGGTTGGCCACTATTAAAATTGGTAACAAAAACAAAATTAAATTCTCTTTATTATTTGTCGCACCAGGTGTTTCAGCCAATCAAATAAAATCGAACTAAATGGGTTATAAAATAATAGTGCTAAATGATACAGTACAATATGAGTAAAAGTAACACTTCTGGTATTTGACTTTCAGATGGGACTTTAGTGATACATAAGACAAAAAGGTTAGGAAACACTGACTTATCCTGGATTGCTACACTAAAACAATGATAGGTAAGCAAGTAATGGGGAACTCCCTGTAACCCCCCATTTATCCTGGTTTTGACATTTGCGTCGATGTTAGTATTACGTGTCCCTTAGTCCGCCAACACCCCAGCCAACGTCACACACTGATAAACTGCAGAGACATTCCATTTTGACACTCATGGCATCTACCAGAGAGATTTTCCCGCTCCTGTATCTGGAGAGAACACTGGGAAATGTTGTGAAATCTTGAGTTGAGTCAGCGTGACGGGTTTCTTTATTATACAGATAAATTAGCAGCAGACTTGTCTCAACCTGCAAGCCTTGTTCAGTCAGAGCATTGCCTGCTACAACCACAAACACACAAAACAAGCACACATTCTCACCCGAAATGTCATGTAAAATTGACTGCTCAAATGTGTGGTTTACTGAAACTTAAGGTTTTCACTATAAGCAAAATGAATAGTCTCAAATACATTTATTATAATTTAAAAATTTAGTAACTACTGTACAGACATGTTCACCAAACATGTCAAGCCTGAAGTTTTTTTTTCTCACATAACATTAAAAACTTAAGGGTCAGTAAGTTTTTTAAAGAAATTAATATTTTTAATTTAGCAATGATGCATTACATTGATCAAAAGGGACAGTAAAGACATATATAGTGTTGTTTTTTAAATAAATGCTATTCTTTTGAACTTTTTATTCAAAGAATAACTTTGAATAAAGAGAAAACTGTATCACGGTTTCCACAAAAATATTAATCCACACAAATGTTTTTAACATTGATGATGATAAGAAATGATTCTTGAGCACCAAATCAGCATATTATAATGATTTGTAAAGGATCATGTGACACTGAAGATAATGCTGAAAATTTTGCTTTGCCATCAGGAATACATTACATTATAACATATATATATATATATATATATATATATATATATATATATAAATGAAAAAAAAAACAGACATTACATTACTTTAAATTGTTGTAACAGCATTTCAAAATATTACTGAATGGTAATGCTGCTTCTTAGTCTTATAAACTCTGTTGCAGGACACATTCATGGTATTTATGTTTTTAAAATGTATTATTAATACAGTACACTGGTTGTGCTTGTTTTAAAAGTTGTGTTTGTGTTAAGGGTCCGTTACCAAACACCTGTGGTCACTTCTGGGAGATGGTGTGGGAACAGCGCTGCCGAGGGGTCGTGATGCTGAATCGCGTTATAGAGAAAGGCTCGGTGAGAGAAACACACCGAACCTGTATCTTTCTACCATACCTGTAACATTGATACACACTCGCTTTGGATACCTGCCTGAAACACTTCTAGCATGCATATGGAGTGTGTATGTGAAGCTTGTGTTGTAAGGTTATAATGAGTGTATAAAGGTTATAGTGTGTGTGTGTGTGTGTGTGTGTGTGTTGTGCAGGTAAAGTGTGCTCAGTACTGGCCTCAGCGAGAAGAGAGGGAGGCTGATTTTGAGGACACAAACTTCAGACTTACTCTGATCTCAGAGGATGTGAAATCGTACTACACAGTACGAGAGTTGGAGCTGGAAAATCTGTTGGTGAGACACTTCATCTCATCTCATCCAGTCATGCTTTTGCTCATCTGTCAATCTCTTTCACTTATCATTCTGCTATTTTTAACTGAGATTTTATGCAGTGCTTATTCAGTCATTTTTCTTCCATTTGGCCAAATTTTTGTTTTCCGACAAAAAATGTTTAATGCAATGTTCTTTATAGCTGGACGGCTTGTTGACTTGACTCGACACTCTCTGGATACTACAGATGCTAGAGGCTCAATTCAGACAAACACACACTCATCATGATTAATGTTGTGTCATGTGTGTTTAAAGACACAGGAAACACGGGAGATTCTTCATTTCCACTACACCACATGGCCAGATTTCGGCGTGCCAGAGTCGCCTGCGTCTTTTCTCAACTTCCTGTTGAAAGTGCGCGAGTCGGGCTGTCTGAGTCCAGATCACGGCCCTGTCGTGGTCCACTGCAGCGCTGGCATTGGCCGTTCTGGAACGTTCTGCCTTGTAGACACCTGCCTTCTACTGGTGAGAGAACTGTGTGATGCCATATCTGCCGGACAAAATTGCTTTTATTAATATTTCACTTTTTAAATAAAGGAGTATACTCAATAGCATATAAACTAATATATATTATTCAAAAATTCTATTGAGTCATGACAATGACATTTGTGCATTTGACAGATGGTGTTATCCAAGTGAAATTTCATGAATAATGGTGCCTTGGCACTCAATAAAACCAAAAAATAAATGGCACTAATAATACACTATCATTTAATATTTTGGGGCCAGTACAATACTTTTATTCAGCAAGGAAGCATTATATTGATCAAAATTGACATTTAAAGATTAATTATTACTAGGGGTGTTGCTATAAATATGTGATGATAACTATGGGTGATGTAAACGAAATGATCTGCGATATAGAGTTAGTTTTATCCAACACTCAGCTTACTGTTTTTTTTTTTTTTTTAAGTATAATTAATCCAAAAATGTAACATTCTGTCATCGTAATCACCCTCATGTCGTTTTTAAAGGGATAGTTCGGCCAAAAATGATATTTAACACATGCATTACTCACCGTCAAGCCGTTCGAGATGCATATGTCAATCTTGTTTCAGACGAACACATTTTCAGTTATTTTAGAAAATGTCTTAGACCCTTCAGTGGATATAATGTGAAGCAATGGGGTCCACCTCCTTCAAGTCCCAAAATGTGCATACATCCTTCACAAAAGTAATCCATCCGGCTCCAGGGGGATAAACGAAGGCCTTCTGAGGGTAATCCGTGCGGTTTTGTCGTAAAAATATACATATTTAAAACTTTATAAATGAAAATATCTGACTTCCGGCAACGATCGACGCGCGTTCACGGGTGATGGAAGTCGGCGTACGAGGTAGGACGTAGCGTAGGAACCGTCGTGACGTAGAACGAACGTGCCTGCGCAGCCAGAGTGCAGAGCAAAACAACGTCTACGTCACGACGGTTCCTACGCTACGTCCTACCTCGTACGCCGCCTTCCATCACCCGTGAACGCGCGTCGATCGTTGCCGGAAGTCAGATATTTTTATTTATAAAGTTTTAAATATGTATATTTTTACGACAAAACCGCACGGATTACCCTCAGAAGGCCTTCGTTTATCCCCCTGGAGCCGGATGGATTACTTTTTGATCCAAAAAGGTCATAAAGGCATCATAAATATAATCAATCGAGTGTTCTAATCCAAACGCAAGTTTTCTGGAAAGACACGATGGCTTTATACGACGAACAGATTTACAATTGGAGCAGCTCTCTTCAAAGAGAAATCACAAACATAATTTAAATCGCCATATCGCATTTAGTTTTAGTCGTATGATTATTTAAAGCATTTTAGATGTTTAATTCTTATGTAAGTAGTGGGAGATGCGGGACATAGCGAGCACCAGGAGAGTCTGTGTGCGCGTGGCTTGTCTGTAAGAGATCCAACGAATGCCGGCATTGAAAGCGCGAGTGAACCGTGTGAGGAAAAAAATTAACGTTTACATGTTTCAGTTACAGTATTTTTTTTCGTCACGTCATCCGTCCGATCCGCGGTTTATCCACGGAGGCCGCGGCTGTAACCGCCAACCGCGCATCTCTAGTACTCAGTGACATAGTGCCATAGTGCAAGCCTAACATAATTCTGGATTTTCAGCTTCAGAATCATAAATATTTTTATTCTGGTGTCACCATTTCCCTGTGCATCGGGGACCTGGACTAAGTTCAAGTCTATTCAAGTAAGGGATGTGCGATAGTGACAAATTATATCTCAATATTTTCTGGGATTTGATTGATAACGGTAAAAACAATATTTTCCTGAGTGTATTATTGTGTTGGTACCTTGGCAGGTTTAGGACTGCAGCAGTGACCGAAATGATCTTTTCCAATAAATTTAAACTGATTTTTTACCTTTTATGGGCATTTTTACCTTTATAAAGGCTTTTTTTGTACCTAATTAAATGTATACATCTTTTGTGTCAAATTCTTACATTTAATCAGTAAATTCAGTTAGTATAATAAGACTCAATATAGGGCTGTGACCAATCAAATGAAATCAGTATCAACAAAATTCATCTTTGCAATGCCGAGGAAACACAGAAGCTGCATCTTCTGAAGTGGCATTTAGATGCTTTTACACAGACTGCTCAGAGCTCAGAGGCCACATGAATGCATTTAACCTGCAGAGACGCAAGACAGTCCTGGGACTTTTTTTTGGAACTATTTTCATTGGTGAAATAGAACAAAAACAGGCAATATTGTGTCTTAAAATGTAAGTCACCTAATATTAACTTCTTGTTTATGGAACTATTGAATAAAATCAATCTCACATTTGTAAATACGCTGATATTTTGAGAAAAAGATATTAACTATATTGAATGATATAAATATAAAAGACATACAGAGGTATTTTTGTCCCTTATCTTGAATATTGAGGACATTATCTAACTGACCCCAAATATTTGAAAAGTAGTGTAATTATTTTCTAAATATTATATACAGTACTAATAAACTGAAATGTAACCTTCAAGTATTCAGTAAACGACCAGTAATAATAATAAAAAGTGCAGAGATGCAAATCAAGTAAACAGTGCTTGAAATTTTTTCAGATAATTAACAGCAGTATCAGTACTTTGGACTTCCCTTGTGCCTGCTGGATGACGGAATTTCTCACGCACACTTCAGATTTGTTGGGGGTTTTTTTTCTTTCTTTTTTAGCTCAGTAGACCCCCCCCCCCCCCCCCCCCCCCCCCCCCCGCCCACACACACACACACACATACATCCTCTAAAAAACTACTATTGTGTGTTCTCAGATGTCTCAGAGGGAAGATCCATCATCAGTACGCATCCAGGAGGTATTGCTGGAAATGCGACGATACCGCATGGGTCTGATCCAGACAGCTGATCAGCTGCGTTTCTCTTACCTCGCTGTCATAGAGGGTGCCAAGTACATCATGGGAGACACGTCTGTACAGGTAATGCTATGGGATGTTAAAGAAGCCAACATATTTTAAATGTTTAAACTTGGTGTTCTGAAATGTTTCATTTCTGGACTCTTTGCTGAGGGTGTTGCAGGGTGTAGAGCTGATAGATGCACTAACATTCAAAAGTGTTGGGTTGTAAAATCATTTTTAAATGTTTTTAAATGTCACTTTTATGCTTTCCAAGGATGCCTTTATTTGGTAAAATTACTATAAAAACAGTTATACTGTCAAATAGGGCTGTACTGTCCCAGTCGATTAGTCGATTAAATGGTCGATACGTTCTGATTCGACCAAAATTCTGATTGGTCGATTTTTTGCCGCGTTCATTTCATCAGTTTTGCCGCGCTCATTTCACCAGTTTTGCCATGCTAATTTCATAAGCTGGAAAGCACAAACTGCTAATGGGGGTGTTTTTAGAGTACCCCTGTTTCACAGGTAACAGTCTGTCTTTAGAACACCCCCCTTGTTTTTGGATTAGCCCAAGCCCACTGGAGAAGAGAGACAGATAAGTAGGCTATAGAAGGTTTGATGCTTTATTTATTTAATTGTGAGAGCGTTTAATAGTCAGTCCTTTTCTAACAAGTCAACAACAAAGACATTGACTGTGGCAGCATTTTGTTAAAATTGATATCGGGAAAAAGATTAAATGCAAAGTGTGCAAGCAACAGTTTGCCTTCCACAGCTCGACGACAAACATGACATATCTAAAAGCGGTAAGCTAACTTGTCTGCGTTAGGTTGCCCTGTCTGTTTTGAGTATATGAACATATCAGAATTGGCATAGCAGTTATGCACTTTATTTCGTTTCTGCTCTTGATCTGGTTTGTTTAATAAATATTCTTTTTTTATTAAAGTGGACATGCCTTTTGTGTTTCTTAAGAGTAAAAGCTTTAAGTTAATAGTCTATTTGTGTCTCAGCCGCGAAGATGAGCTCCTATGTTCAGCCTCGCTCACAGAGCAGCTGAAATGATAGTGTAATTATTATAACATATGATGAAAAGAATTGTCTAAATTATGTTGCATATTCCTCAACAGTTCTTGTGATGATATCACTAGTTGACAACATAGTAAGTACTATTTTCGGAAATCATAGGCTACTATGAAATTGCGCAGGTGCACGTGATGCAACACTGTCAGAGCCGACAGACTCGTGTGTCAGACTCACGTGTGTTTCAGTGCAAAATAATTAGGTCAAAAACGATTTAATATACTGCAAATAGCCTACTAGTTTTTTATGTTGATTTATAATTCATTTAGGCGGACAACAAGGCTACCAAGTACTGCACACAGTGCGCAGCTAATTAATTTAAGCAAGCGCGAGAACCAATGAGGTTCATTCTTGCTCATCAAGCAAGGACAGTTGAGCCTCTGTTTATGTTTGCTGATCAATGTTTATATGTGAATAAAAGCCTAAATTCAATCTGTTCATCACATAAAGTGTCTCTTCAGAAGACTAGGACTAAACAGCTCGATTCATATCGAATTATTTTACATTATATAACTTTCGAAGCATCTGAGTTTTGGGTGAATAGACTTTAAATGGAGGGTCATAAATCTCTCTGATTTTATTAAAAATATCTTAATATTTGTTATGAAGATGAACGAAACCCTTATGGTTTTTTGAATGACATGAGGGTGAGTAAATGACAGATTTTTCATGTTTGAGTGAACTAAACCTTTAATGCATCCTTGTTGAATAAGAAATCTTACTGACCCCAAACTTTGAATGTTAGTGTACCATTTTACAACTATTTTTATTTATTAATTTGATTTATTTTTACCATTTAATTTAATGTTAAAAATGAATCATCCTACCATTTGGCCATAAAATGCCAAAAAAAAATCCCTGTCATTTTTAAATCATATAACTGAAAAAGACTTGTATCATCATATGATATAGGCCTACCTTTACTGTCATAAAAATACTTTTACCATGATATGTAACATTTTGTTCATACCGCCCACTTCTGGTAGGCTGTATTGATCAGTGAAGTATTTGTATTCATGTGTGAGTAGGTGTCTTGGAAGGAGTTATCAAATGAGGAGGATCTCCCCCCGGAATTCACTCCTCCTCCCAGGCCACGGCCCCCAATAGATCCTCCTAACGGCAAAGACGACCTGGTGAACTCTGACCCCACACACTTCTTCACTGAGATCATAAAAAACAGTGCAGAAATCTGTGCAAACAGGTCAGCCTGTCAATATCTTTTATCTACTCCCAATATATTCTCTCTGGTTGTGCCCATCCACACCCAGCAGCCACATTCAAACATGTTTTGTTGCTGTTTTTCCAGTGCACCCCAGACATTCACAGACGGGCCTGACCTACGCAGACGGATGGTCGCAGCTGGTGAGGTTGGAGCGACGCCGTTGTCAAGCGAACAACTCGACGACCCAATCGTTCCAAGAGAAGCCCCTCCCAAACCTGCACGGTCTCCGCCCAAGACTCCCACCGCAGAGGCTGTTCCTGCTCCCGCCTGTGGAGCGTGGAGCCCCCTGATGGCCAGTGTGTGTATGTGCACGGTCCTGGCTGCAGGTGCTTATGTCTGTTACCGCACCTATTTCCACTGATGCCCTGTCTTTCGTTCCGTCTCTTTCTCTATCCCTCCATCTGCTGGCTATTGGTGGGAAAAGAAAAAGAGACACACACACACACACATTCTCAGCTGGACCTGTCTCTCTCAGCTGAGCCCATCTCACTCTCTCCAAGTGTCTCTGGGGAAGAGTTATAGAGGCTTTTCTCTGCCAAACTGCTGTCGTCTCCCTCTATACACTCTCTTGCACACAATCTAATAAACGTGTGTCCGTTTAAAACCTCAGGGCCTCACAGTTCAGGTGTTGCTACCTAGACGTTATATACAGGTAAAAGAGAATCCAAAAGACTGTTATTGCTGCAGTAAATAAGGGAAATTTTTGTGTGTATGTATCTCAATCATATGGAATTTTGCATTTTAAGTCTGACGACTGTCAGTGATGGTCTCGGATGGAGCTGCACAGGAGGTGAGCTCATAATACATGCTGAACACACAAATCTGCTGTACCTAATAGGGGGAGGACACGAGTAGTCTTCTTTTCATCCTTTTTTTTCCCATCCTCAGCTTTTGTGTGTATGCCAAAGGTGACACTGGCATTTCTTCTGTGTCCTCATTCATTTGTTTTCTATGTCAATACCATTTCCAAAAAGTTCAGACCATTTAAAATGCTGGAGCTGATGTCAAACCTCAGTCAGATCCAATCTTGCAGATCTGCTGGTCCTCCAGCTAATGCAATAAAAGGAACTGCGGCCATTTCACAAGAACTCGCATTTTAGTTTATTTAATAAAAATTCTAAAATCAGGCAAGCTTTCTGATGTTTCAAGACCTGATGTTCTGCACTTGATGGGTCTTTACCCCCAAATGTGGGTAAATTTAACTTAAAGCGAGCTTTGGAAATCAAGGGAAAGAAAGCAAGTTAACTTTAATGATGGAACAGCATTTAGTGCGAATCCCTCAGTATTTTCATCTAAGCATAAGCTCATTCCTGGATAATTGATTATTAAATTAACAAAAGTGTGACAAAGCTCAACCAGCAGGTGGCAGTATTATGGTTTTGCTTGTATTCCCCATTAGAGAATAGTGATTCATGGAACAGGTTTTGATTTTTAATTTAAAAAATTGTTCCCAGCTGCAATAGATACGTTCCGATGCTTCTGGCCTTTGTCACATGATTTGAACGGTGTGCAGTGAGCACAGGGGGTCCGACTAACCAAAAAACAAACAAAACACCAGCACCGAATGAATGCAAAGAGAGAAACGATCAGTGACAGTGAGCTGTCTTTGTGTTTTACTGTTTTATCATATTATTGTCATAGTAATTATCATCAAGAGAGATTAACTGCAGACTGGCATAAACATTTCCTTCAAATCAAACCACGCTGCAGAACGGTTACTTTTGAACAATTTGTGAACAAGTCAAATGCAGTAACCTCAAAACAAAAGAAGCCTTTTCTATAGGTGTGGCCTGAAATGCTTTTAATTGTGACTTCGGCTTTGTGTGCTGACTTTTTTACTGCTGCTTGACCAGTCCAGAATGGTAATTTTTGGGTTACTGGGTGGTTTTTCCTGTTTGTAGAGGTTCAATGTTTCGCACTCTGAAGCTGTTGATGTTTGGTTTGAAGGTTCTGCCACCATCCATCATAGTGACTCAGAATCTGGTCCTGTAGCTGGACCACAGAATGTAAATTCTCTCTTCTTGATAGCTTTATTTACACATATAGAGAAATATATTTGTCTGCGTCATTGTTTGTCTTCTTTCAGTTATCTTAGGACTGGTAGACATCAGACATCTTTGGCCTTTGTATTTAAGGCTTAAGAATCCCCGCATCCTGTTGTGTTCTTTTTAATGTTTATTATCTGTTTTTTTTTTTGTGTGTTTTTGTAAGAAAAGCATATGCTTTGTTTGCGTATGCTTTCCAGTTGGATGTAATGACAGTTGAAATTTTATTTTTCGGACAGAATACAGAGCAGACGCTGTGGTAATAAACGTGTAAATCTCTGATGATCTTCTGTTTTTGATTTTGTTCCTATTTCGTTCTTATTCCCTCATGTGACGGTGAGAGAAGTTCCTCTGATATCTGATAAAATATCTCATCGAAAACTTTGAATGAAATAGCTCTCTGTGAGTTCTAATGTTAAAATAAAGCTAAATCATAGATTACAGACTCAAAAATACATGTGAAGTGTGGTGTAGTTTGAGCTTGTTTAATGTGCAGTTTCACCATCATCATCATCCTATTATTTAGTTTATGCTCACATTTGATACCACAATTAAAACTCAATGTAAATGTATGTAGTAGGTCTGGATTATGGACTGGGCCAGATCTCTCAAGACTAAAATAAATTGAACCAGGTTCCTCAGTGATACAATGCAAGCTGACGCTAAGGATCCCAGATACAATTTTCAGTTGTCCAACCATAGCCTAACAAATCATAAAAAAATAAAGAATAAGATAAAAAAAAAATGCAAATTGCCTCCATTAATAGTCTTCATGGAGAAAAATATACCAGTAGTATATCTTTTTATATTTATACTGCATGTAAGGAAGTAGAGATGAAAAATAAATTTGTAAAATATGTAAATATAAAATTATATAAAAATTATCTTATATATATATGCATTTTTAATAATTTAAAAAACTTATTTTTTTTACTCCCACTGAATTTTTCAAAGACCCCTATAGCACCCCTTTAATGCACCCGGTTTATTATTTTTTTTTGTGACAGGACCTGTGAATTTTTTCGTGTATATACAATCACAATTGTTGTAGGCGGACGTGTCCCTCTGAATATCTTAGGTCAGGTGATTACATCCCTGACGTCAATACACACATTAAAAAAAACTCCATGTGGCCAGTGGAGGGCGCTTCAGGATAAGTAACTCACTTCTTGGCTCTTACTTCGATTGGGTCTTTCACAATAAGCGAACTAGAACCTTTTATAATAACTTGTCTGAACTCGTGTCATTGCAATCTAATAACACGTATTTCAGAGTCAGTAAATTGTGACTTTTCAAATACTTGTACCCCTTATAACTAAACCCATCCTCATGTTACCATGTTCACAGTGCAAAAATGCAGATCCATAGGCTTTCCTAAACCACATCAGTCTCTGTCTGAGAGGCTTTACTTATGACAGGAGTCATCAGCTGTAATGTTTCTCTTGTTTACGTGCTTGAGTGTGTGTCAGCACAGTACAGCTGATACCCATGCATTTCCTGTAGCATTACCTTGCCCTTCTAACAATACCTCACAGCTTCAAATAAATAATTTTGAGCACATTTGCAAGGTCTTATTATCCCAGATGGACTGTTTCTGTGATAAACAAAAGGGGTTTCTAGACTGTTTTTAGAAGAGGGATTTCTAGAATGTTTTTACAAGTCTTGTAAACATGCTTTCATATGTAGGCCTACTTACAGTACTTACAGTACAGGACATGTCATAACCATTCTGTGCTGCTTTTGAGTTGGTTTCAGTTGATGCTAATGACGTTCTTCTGACGCTGCTGGTCTGAGGCGACTGATTTGTGGTTGTCTCAGCCTGTTTTTACTTTTATACTAGTTTGTGTTGGTTTATACTTGTCTGAGAAGGTCCATAGTCAGTTTGTCGTCTCTAAACAGATGATTGGAATGTCTCAATTAGAAGTGATTTATGTCACTGACAAGCTGTTCATCCCATTTCCTGTGATATAGCCGATAGCCGATGACATATGTGACATTATAGTATGTCTTCCCATCCCTTAACAGTTCACTTGTTTGGTGTCACTCAATTTTATCTCTCTATCGCTGTCTTTCAGCGTGATTCAGAAGTTTGAAATTATGTTTTGGGTTGTGGGGAGCAGTTTATTAACCGTTTCTGGCCTTGTTGAAAGGAAATTCAGATTCGGTGGATATCAGGCTATAGATGTTTTTTTTTCTAAAATCTATTATTTCATCACATATTGCTAAAAACTCTATTCTTCCACGCCCACTCGTGAAGTGCTGAAATTAAATGTCATTATGAATCCTGTGATAATACATCTGACTCTGACACCACACACACACACACACACACACACACACAGTTTCCTATGATCAAAATAATGCTGCAAATATTCTCAGGACCGTATTCAAATTAGTTTGGATGTAAATCAACAGGAAACTAACATTTAGGATGAATGACTCGAACATGTAAGTGTCATTATAGAAATGAATGGTATTGTTCCAGTTTGTAAACTTGTCTGACAGTCTTAACTGTGTTCATAACTGTAATCACATTCTGTTGTAGGTTAAACTTACAGTAGAGGTGAGTGTGTTCTCAAGTATGCTTTGTGGTTCACAAGTATGTTGGTTCACACTATTCAGGAATGAGTGTGTGTGTGTGTGTGTGTGTGTGTGTGTGTGTGTGTGTGTGAGCATGAGTCAGGGCACTCCCTAACTCGTGGTACTTTGACGTAAAACAGGCAAGACAGAACAGGCTGATCCAATCATCCAACTACTAGGGAAAAACACTGAGGTGGGCGGGGCTTAGTACCGGAAACACTTAAAAAGACAGCGAACACGAAACTCCAGCTGGGGCTTGGGGTCAGTTATGGGTTCAGGTATCAAACAGCTGCTGCTTATTATTTCTACTCTAGCATTTAAGAGTGCTGACAACAAACACAAGATCTATAAAACACAGCTTGGTCTGTATATTTAGAGTAAAATCATTTGGATTGTATAGGGGGAGTTTTGGCAAGCGCATAGTGTATTACAACATAAATGAGGAATGATATTGGTTTTCTCCTGGTCTCTCTTTCCTGTACGTACCTCCCTTTGTTCTGTCTCCTCCCATTTCCGTTCCTTTTGGAATATTTCCTGGGAGCAACAGAATTAGGAAACTCCAGAAAGAAAGAAAGAAAAGTAAACTGTGCTTGAGTGACTCATGTTCTTACTCAATCTTGATGAATGTCAAACCTCAGATGTTTAAACACATTTGTAGTCGGTACAACTTTAACACAGTAAAAAAAAATCTGAAAAGGAGCAACAATAGAAAACGAATAAACAAAACAGACTTTTCAGGTGACAATCTGGTTGTTTAAAGGTGGGGTATGTGATTTTCTTTTTTGACCATTTTTTCAAAATCACTTGAAATCCTATTCCTAACCCACTTACAGCCACTGAGTTAGAAGCACTGAAAAAAAATGTAAGCAATTTAATCATCTGTGGAACGGGCAGGACTAGAAAAACTCCAGCCAATCATTTCCAAGACCACCTAGAATCATTGGACAATCACTGCGTCAATCAAACAGTCGTACCATACCCCCCTCCCC